ATATAAATATAAATATAAATAAATAAAAACAGTTTTGGTTTCATCTGAAAAGGGATTCCTATTATTTTCACCAATGTCCTGTGGATTACCAACCAAACATTTTGGGCCACTTCACAAGTCCACCACATATGATAATAGGTTCCATCCTCTTTTCCACATTTCCAACATATACTTGAAACATTTTTATACATTTTGGATAGTTTCATGGGTGTCAAATGCCATCTATACATCATTTTATACAAGTTTTCTCTTAAATCAATGCACAGAGTAAATTTAATATTTTAGTCCACATTTTTCCCACATGCCCATGCCAATACTGTGCCCAAAATTTAGCATCCATCTAATATTACATTCTTTAACTTGTTCAACTTCTGTATCATATTTTAACAGCAATTTATAAATTCTTGGGATTACGTATTTGTCATCTTTACATAATTGTGTTTCAAATTCATTCTTATACCCTCTTATACTTCCTTGTTTCACATCCTTTTCAAATTGTGCTTTTATTTGCGCATAGACAAACCCAGTCAAATTTATATCTTCTGTACTTAGCTTAAATATTAACTGTCGAGGGGAGACATAGATGTGCATTTCTCCCTGCCCTGTCTGTTCCCAACATGTGAACAGAGAAAGTTTAAAAAACTACGTTTACCACATTTGGCTAAATACGGCCCAAGCGCTTGGCATGATTAGAAAAACCTGCTCAGTCAGGCTTTCCATTTCCACCCTAACTTCATTTAGCTGAATATTGTTACAATTTTTCTTCAGATCATCACCACAGGGGTCAAAAAAGTCAAGATGGCAGCCATTAACCATGCAATCCAAAACCTTGCCTGCTTTTTATGTGTGTTGCGATCTTGACTTTTTCGAGGAGAGCAGCAGTAAGCACATCCCCCTTTCTCCTAAATGCTTAGGATTTTATAACTCCAGAAGAGGAATATTTATTTTCTTTTCATTTCAAAAGGAAAAAAAATACATTTTCACTTTCCAAACTTCATAGGCTTAAATCTATGCCCTGGGATCCTTATATACCTCCTTTACCCATCATTTTTATGTATATATTGAACTGACTTGTCCACTATTCATAGCTGAATAATAATTACCAATTTGATATAAATAAATTACAGCAGGGATTGGCAAGGGGAGCTTTTTAGTGCCTCCCTTCCCATAGCACCCCTGAGGAATAGTAATTAAAAACTAAGTTGTGGATTTAGACACAAAAGAGCTACAAAGAGAAAGCTGTGTTCTAACAACAGTGGGGCATCAGAAGGGGAAGAGGGTAGAATCCTGGCCCACAATTCTCTATTTTCTCCTGTAGAACTAGCCACTAGCCACTTTTGAACACCTTTGCTTATGCCAAGCTTTGTGTTTTTGCTTTGTGTTGGCCACTGGACTTAACCTTATGAGCCAGCAAGTAGATCATTACCTTTTAAAGAGTTTTAGTCATCTGTATGAACCTGGTCTATTCCCTTGGCCTGCTTCAACATGTTCTTCCTCAGATACTGCATTACATCTGCCCAAGCTCTGATCAAAGTAGACATCTATATTGGCTTTGTGCCTGCTCTTCACAAACATACCACTGAATCTGAATATTAAGCACCCCAGAAATAGAAAGCAACCGATTCCACCTCCAATAATACTTGATGCAGATTCTATTATACGAAACTTATTTTGCTTTCATATTTCATTAACTGCAGTGATTTGGGGCACAGTCTTGGTTTGTTGAATAAAAAGGGTAAAAAATAGATCTAAGAGCCTTTTCTTGACAGAAACGATGGTTATAAGCTTAGGAGAGCAAAATGCAATGATCCACAATGGAAAAAGTTGCTATGAGATTCCGTTGTAAAATTGAACAATATATTTAAAATCCTGCGTTGTTTTTTTTAAAGAAAACCCTTCATCATTGTATTGAATAAAATGTTTGTATATATTAATAGTCTGGACATATTAAAATTATTCATGAACTATTGATATTTTCCAGATAACCATTTCTTTATTTATAGGTTCAGATCTCATTCTCTCTAGCCTTCATTGAGGCAACCCTCATATACAGCTTCCAAGACTGTATAATTACTTAAGACTTTCAGGATTAATAGCATGTACAGTAGTCTTATCAAGCACTGAATGTATTTCAAAGATTTAATTTGATATGAGACATACTGTGGGGCCTTTACATTTGTATTGTGGTTTAAGTGATTTGTTCTTCAACATTCAAATCCTGCATTTTACTTCCACTGTAACATCCCATACTGCACTTCCCTAATTAAACACAGTGGAGAGATCAGAATATGGACTTCCTGTTTAGAAGAGAAATATTTGCACCATTTCAAGGCATGATTTGAAAATAAATGCACCACATATATATTTGTTTAGCAAAGGTCAGCTCACATTAAACCAAATACATTAAATATATAATGTATTTAGATATACGTATACATCAACCTAACATATAAAGTGCCAGTGTGGCAAACAGCATTTGAAAATACATTATCCTACCAGTATTCCTGTCGGGCATACCTTTAGAGGGAAAGCCAGCTTTGATCCCATATAATTTGTGAAGTAGAACACTGTAAAAATCAACTGAACATGAAATGTATGAAACAATGGGACAGGCAATGTAAAATTGTGCCTGAAAGACTTTCCAGCAAGTGAAAGATGGATTCAGAAAGGGGGGGAAAAGTACATAAATGCCAAACAACAATATAGTGATGATGATGAACTTTAAAATCTACCATCCCAGCTTTATTATTATTTCTTTGTGCTTTATATCTCTTCAGCCTCTCTGTCTAAGCTTGCCTTACCGAGTCTATATTACCAAGGCTATTTTTAGAGGTGACTGGTGATCAGGTTTTATTAACTAGTACAAATTCCAGCTGCTAGAGAGAAGCAGCTTCTTCCCTTCAGCAAAGCCATGATACTCTAAAAAAAATATAGATCTCGCTCAGTGGCTGAGTCTGTGAAAAATATTGAGTAGAAATCTTTTTCAGACAATGAGAACATCAAGATTGTTACAGTACCTTCTGCTGTAATCTCAGTCATAATGGTGATGGTAAGCAATGCACTGTGAAAAAGGTCAAGTTGTGTTAGCAGCTCAGAGGATCTGGCAGGGCGAGCGTTGACTCTCGCAGGAGATGGTGTATTAAAAAGTGGGACGTCCTCTGCAGTTCTAACTTTCTTGGGGTTCTTCTTTTCAGCTACTTTCTCTACAAAACCCTGCCTTGCCTTCCCCACCTTTGATAGAAACTAACCCTCTCCCAAGGCGGTGTTCACAGCTAGACTAAAGTATCAGCTTCTAATAAAAATAGCCATGGCTCTCAGCAGATCTGCAGCTCAGCTTATTTGGCATCCTAGCACCACTCAGGGACTCGATCTATTTTATTCAGTTTTAAGCATTCAGCTCCAAACTAGAAGCCAAGTGGGTAAAAGCAAAGGCAGCACAAAGGAACCGGGAGGGACGGTCAAAGCCCTGGCCGCTGCTTTTAATATGATTACAGCTCTTTGAGGTCTACGGCAGAAAACATGAAATATAGACTTGACGGTAATCTTATCCAACCAAGCTGAAATGTATTCTTAGCATACTCCTAGCACATTCTTTCCGGCCCTTATTTGGGTTGGGAAGGACATTGCGAAGTCAGCCACAGAGACTGAAGAAGAAAATTAACTTAGGTAAATTTCCCCCTGTTGAATTCCCTGCTGACATTTAAAATCACTGAAATACTCCACCTCGCCCTCTGCTTCTTTTTTTAGTTTTTGCCCATCAGTTTCTAAGAAGAAATCTGGGGTATCATACCAAGAATGAATCTCTTCCAGGGTGTTTTCAAATCTCTGAGTGTACATATTAATAGCTATAGTTACTGGTGAATGCAGCGTGCCAGTGGGCACTGGTACCAGTGTAGTTCTTGGTGAAAAGATCATGTGCAGACTTGTGTGCCTGTTTTGTATTATTTTTAATTTAATGTAAAATGTCTACAGTGTTAAAACTTATAAAGCCAAGGGAAGCTTGGGAATCTTAAAGAACTTACATCATGCATTACAGTGTCTAGATTAGTCACTGAATCCTCTGGCGTTCACCATGGGATGTGTTTGAAACAGCATTTTGAACACAAGCTAGATAGACTATAAAAAATCCATATATTCCCAAACCTCTGAATTTCTATATGCTTACTTCTGAGAAGTGATGGGTAGGACAGAATATTATAGAGTGGGAATGGAGGGTGAGAATTATTCAATTTGGCAAGCCTCACTGATTTAGTTTTCCTCTACTGGGCAGGGAGACAATAGGCTGAAAGTGGGATATTTGACATCTGTTCCCTTGTCACAATCAAACCATCTCCTGTTGAGATTTAGGTTTGCAGCAATTATTCCTCTCTGTAGGGGAGGGAGATCTACTAGAATGACCTGCTTCCAGAGGCTGAATGATTCCAATGGATTCCAGAAGGCTCTGGGGAATTTTGCACTCCTGTTAAAAGCATGGCTGCCAGGATGGTTGATGCAATAATTCCTGAGTATCCTGCTGGCTGAAGACAATGAAGCAGAGCGGGAGATTATTAGAATTCAGGAAGATAAGCTCATCTCATATCTGATCACTAGTAGAAACTCATTATCACTACTTTATGGTGATGAGGAGTTGAAAAAGCAAGTCTCTCAGTGGCTCTAGCCAAGCCTTTCCAAACGGCTTGGCTCTTTTTTGAATGTGGCCTAACTAGAACTTTTAGTAGCTTGTTGCATGATATCTTGGCTAGACTCTTTGAGGAAAATTTGATCAAACTCATCTGTAGTTTTATTCTACAGTCACAGCAGCAGAAGTGTCCAGGACCCTGTCTGATCACTTCTTTGAATGAATTTCACGGTTAAGGCCTGATGATGTTTGGTTAAGTTACCACATGCTTGCTTCCCCTTGGCCCTCATGGCATTTCTCATCTTGGTGGGCCTTATGAGATGTAGCAAAGGAGATTACCTCTGAATGCAATTACCACTGAAAAAAGCAATTACTGGACTTAAAAGATCCACATAATAATAGTCTGGTGGCCAATATCTTCTGTTTCTGGCTTGGGCATTGAAACTACCTTGGTCACCTTGTTGGATGATTTTTGCCATGAGAGAGACAAGGTAGATGGAACTCTGTTAATTCTCCTCCAGTTCTCATGGCTTTCAAAATCATCACCATGGTATCTTCTATTGGAACCATTATATCCTTCTGGGAGTTCAACATATTCCTGGATGACTATCTCCAGAAATGGTATTGGGGGTTCTGTTTGATCCCATGATGTTTCTGCTATGTGCTTTAGCTAGGCTCCGTTTTATCTCCCATGTGTTATCAGTATGCAGATGACATCCAGTTCTCCCTCACCTTTTCATCTGATCTGGGTGAGGAAGCATAATTGCCGAATCAGTGCCTAGTTGTGAAGGCCAACAGACTAAAGCTCAGTGCAGGCAAGATGAACTCTAAAGGATCAGGTATGTAGCTTAGAGATGCTTCTGGATCCATTTCTGAAATTAGAGGCACACGTGGCATCAGTGGCAAGAAGCAGCTTTCATCGGTTTAGGCTGGTATGCCATATTTAGACAGAAATAACCTCTCTATGATAATCCATGCTGTAGTATTAGATTGCGGCAATGTATTATACATGCCCCTGAAGATGTTCCAAAACATCAATTAGTACAGAATATTGCAGCAAGAGTCCTGACTAGGACTGGGTGACATAAACATATCATGCCAGTTCTTTCTAATCTTCAATGGTTCCCAATTTATTTCCAACCCAAATTCAAGCCCTTCACAGCTTGGGACCACAGTTTCAGAAGTAATGCCTCTTACCATGTCGTCAAGCCCTTTGAGGCTGGCACTTAGGAAACAAGAATCACTTTGATTTCTGGAATGAATGAGTATTGCTAGTAGAGTACTGTAACAGAATCTTGAAAGCTATCCAAAGCTATTCTCCAAAACAGCTTATATCAAGAGTGATTAAGGCAGAGTTTCTCTATGTCTCTTCCTCATGTTTTCCCCACTACTTGGGAGAAAGCCTTTTCAGTTGTAACCCCTGATATTGAATGTCCCCCCATGGCACCATCTTCATTGTCTTTTTGGCACCAGGCAAAGACATTTGTATTTTCCTAGGCCTTTTAATAATGTGTTCATGTGGCTGTGATATTTTTAACGTTTTCCTTGCTTTTACTTTGTTATTGTTTTGTATATGTGATAGTTTATTCTTTTCACATGCTTTTATAATATTTTAATGCATGTTTTTATACATTGTTTTAATCTATTTGTACAACTGAATTTTACTGTATTGTACTCCATTTTAATGGCAAACAGTGTACACTCTAGATTTCAGGTACAAGAACACCTTTCTTCAAAAAACATTAGGTCTAATTATTGGTTATCATGGTTAGGTTTTGTGTAATGCCTACTGAATTTAGAGTAACGGAAGGATGAGAACAGCCACAATGTCTACCACCAGTGCTACCAAAGTAAGGAAACTTGGTGTCCTTCAGAAGTTTTGAACTTCAGTTTCCATCATCTCTACAAGTTTGACAATGAGAAGGTTTATGCAAAATGTAATCTAAAACTTCTGATAGATACCAACTTGCCCATCCTTGATTGCTATTAAACTGAATTTGGTCATCCCTTTCATTACAAGCGCTGTCATCAGCAGACTGTGAAATACGTATGAGCTATATACAAAGAGATTCATACAAAGCAGCTCTAATAGTTCTGCTACCCATACGGGTAGTCCTTGACCTATGACCATTCATTCAGCGACTGTTCAAAATTATGATGGCACTAAATGAATGGTGGTTATGACTGGTCCTCAGAGTTCTGGCTGTCCCAGCATGCCTGTGGGTCTTGGCGACCGGTTTGCACTTAACAGCCAGTTGCAGCACCCTGTGATCACGTGATCACCATTTGCAACCTTCCCTGCCAGCTTCCCCAGAAAGTCAGGGGGGAACTCTGCAGGGAAGGTTGCAAGTCACTGGGATAAGTGTCCCCCACCTGTGCACCCTCCCCCAGCCTCTCTGTGCTTGCACCATGCCATACCCTTGCGCACTCTCCCTGACCTGCACTGTACCCTCATGCACCCTCCCCAACTTGCACTATGCCTCTTGTGCACAGCCTCACAACCTTGCACACCCTCCCCAACCCACGCCGCACCCTCACACACCCTCCCCAACCCTCCCCGACCCTCCCCGAACCATGCCGCACCCTTATGCACCCTCCCTAACCTATGCCACACCTTTGCACACCCTCCCAACCCATGCTGCACCTCTCACACACCTCCTCCACCCTCACATACCCTCCCCGACCCACATCGCACCTTCGTACACCCTCCTTGACCCCTGCCTCTCGCACATCCCCTCATCCCCTCATGCACCCTCCCTGACCCTCACTGCACCTCCCCCACACCCCCTCGCACCCCCTCACTTCCTCCCCCATCTAGCAGCAGCCATTTACCTGCCTGCCAGCCTGGGACTTGCAACTTCCTGCTGGCTTCCCCACTGACTTTGGTTGAGATTGCTGCTGCTAAGTGATGTGGTCACACTTTATGACTGCATTGCTTAGTGATGGAACTTCTGGTCCCGATTGCCATCGTAAGTCAAGGACTACCTGTTTGTACTGATTTCCATTCTCCTATCAGAGTATCAGCCTCCCTGCTTCCCTAAGGATTTATATTTGAGCTCCCTTCTAGGATCAAGGCACTCAGTAGTTGTTTGAACATTCTAATTTTGTATTAATTCACTAGCCATTTTATTTTGAAGGTTTTATCCAGTTTGGTTTTAAGCAGAAACTAGTATAAGTAATCAGGCATAGATGGATGCATTAAATATTGGAAAGGAGGTTTCTAATTGCCATATTTAATGAATAATGAAATGTAGTCAAAACAACACAATATAAAAATCAAATACATGGGGAAATTGAGCCATTTCTTTTTGCAAGTAACCCTTTAACAGAAACTTGCCTAATAAAGTGGCCTATTGATCATACCTAGTGTATTGGCAGGATTGGAAGGCCTGGTATATTTTGCTATCTAGAATTGAATAAAAAGCTATTTTCAAGAGGGGCATTCATTTGCTGAAGCATAATAATTATAAACAAATGAACAATGAGGCAGATCTTCCATAAAACAGCAAGCAGGACAGTTATCAATGCATTACTTACCAAGCCAGTAATTAAAGTGTGCTAATTGCATTCATAATCTTGCTCATGCCACGCTGTCAATAGATAAGATAAAAAGCTGCTCAAATGAGCTTTCATTACCTTGTAGATTTTAATGGGGAAAGTTTTGACATATGAAAAGATGGCTTCAGAAAGGTGTGAAATCTGATGCAAAACTACATTGTGTTCAATTAGATTAGTCTGAGAGGTGTGGATTTGTTTCTTCATATAGCTATGAGCAAGAATCATATTTCTTAAGCATTTCCAAACAGCAGAACTAAACATTGGTAGAATGAGTAAACAGAGATTACATCATCTAATTTGGGCATCCAATCTGTAGCCCCAAAAATGGCTCTATT